TATGTGTTTTCTGATGGTCTTAGGCGACCCCTGTGAAAGGTTGAGAATCGCTGATCTAGAGTCAGGCCTGCTGTGGTTGGCCCGCTCTTCACTGTCTCGGTGCCCCTGCACTGTAAGCACCGGAGAACAAGGATTGCATTCTTCATCAGTGTATCCACAGTGCCTGGCACATAGTAGATGCTCATCTTGAGAATGGCTGAATAAAAATTACTTAGAGGTTGTGTAGCATAAAAGTTAAGAGCATGGTTCTAAAGTCCGAAAGACCTTTGTTTGAATTCTGACTCCTTGATTTACTTGCTGTATATCCTCCAATGGATTAGTTAAGCTTTCCATCTCTAAGCTTCAGTGTGTTCATCTATAAGATGGGGTGATGATTGCATCCAGCTCATTGGGCTATGTTGAGGGTTAATGAGAAATGCATGTGAAATATTCCATTGTATAAATGTACCACAGTTTCTTAATCCAGTCATCTACCGATGGGCATTTTGGTGTTTCCATGTCTTGGCTATTGTAAATAGTGTTGCGATAAATATAGGGGTGCATATACTTTTTCGAATTAGCGTCTTGGGTTTCTCTGGATAGATACCCAAGAGTGGAATTGCTGGGTCTTGGGCCATTTTTTGAAAAAATTAAGTTGACTTTTTATACATACGTGTGAATCCATTTTTATCAGGTTAGATTTGGTGTTTAAGTCTCTGACAAAATAACTATAGGGTATTAGCTATAGTTACCAAACTCTGGGACAAAAACAACTTTAAAACTATAACTTCTAGATAGAGCCCTACTATAAATTGAGAGATGAAGAGAAAAATAAAGGGCAAATTCTGTAATTACAAGTTCCATGGAGTACAGAGATTTGTTGTACTGGTAATTTATTGGGAAAGGTGGATAGTGTCTTGAAAGCCAGCAGTGATGGTAAATGAAAGTCGACAGCCCAGAATTTTCACTGAAGTATGTCTGCAGAGGATGGTGACTAAAATAGAGATACCTCTGAAGCCTCTGCCTTCACATTTAATGTGCCACCTCGGCTGCCACTGCCACTAAGACATTTACTGCTATGATTACTATTTATTGCTACGATTGCTAGCTGCATTATTTGACTACTTACTACCACTGTGCACTTGCCAAAGCAGTGTATGTTAGCTACCTCTTTTTATCCTTTCAACGAATTTCTGCATGAAGGATTACTAACACTATGTTACAGGTCAGGAAACTGAGACTTAGGCCAAAGAACTTGGCCATAACTCCCAGCCAGTCAGTCAAAATGAGTCTGACTCTAAGACCAGAATTCTTAACCACCCCCTACTGTGTTACCTTTCTAACAAAACTCAGTGCTTATTTTGGTAACATTATCTCACAGTCATTCATTCATCTTTTGCTATCCACCGGAGATAAAAAGAAAGGAAGGCTCTTGTTTTCAAGGACCTGAAAGTTTGAGGGGTCCACTAGTGAGTAACTATTGAGCAGAAGCATTCTTTGACAGAATCATGATGACTGGCTTTGTTACCCAGTCGCCCTGTCCAGCGTTTGAGTAGGATGTGAGGCCACTAATTGAGTAGAGTGGATAAGAACTCTGCTTCTGCCCTTTGTTTCTCCTCTCAGGTGGACATCACAAATGGGGGCTAGAACCTGGAAAAGGAAAAATGAGCAAATCATAAATTTAGGCTAAGGAGAAAGATTACTGAATTTTCTGACTAGGAGAGTTTTGGACTTTGTGGGATTCTTTGAGTATTTAACTTTTCACGTCCTCTGTCTTTTTTTCCTCCTCTTGCCCTGTTGTTTGGTTTGGGGATTGTTGGGGGGAGGGGTGGCATTTGTTATGTTGGGAAACTGGTAAGGCTTAGGAGAATATAAACCTAATTGGCTGTTTTTAATATTCTGAACCCAATTCCTCTGTGTGTGTGTGTGGGGGGGGGGTTGTTTCCCCACACTACCAAGCAATTCTCTGGGAACACCACCTGGGGGTCCTACAACTCAATTCTGGCAATATTTACTGAGAGAGGGCTCGGTTCCACAAGAATGCTCCCCTTCACTTCAGATGCCAGTCTGAACCCAGGTTGGTACCAGTGCTTTTGACCAACTAGCTATACATTAGAAGTTCCCACAACCCCCTCCTTGAGTTGATTAATGCTAGAGCAGTTCACAGAACTCAGGAAACTAGCCTACTCACCAGATTACTGGTTTATTACAAGGGATATTAAAGGATATAAATCAACAGCCAGATGAAAAGATACAGAGGAAAGGAGCTAGTGTCTCCAGGTGTTTGGGGCTTGGCACAGTGGCATGTGGAAATTTTCTGGTCCTTCATCTGGCAGCTCACCAAACCCCTTCCTTTTGGGTTTTTATGGAGTCTTCATTACATAGGCACAATTGACTAAATCATTGGCCATTAGTGATTGATTTGAGGGAGTCTAGTATTTTTTTTCCAATTTTTATTTTTCAGTTACAGTTGACATTTAATATGATATTAGTTTCGGTGAACAACATAGTGGTAGACATTTATATAATTTACGAAGTGATCTCCCCACAATACAGTTATTACAATATTATTGACTATATTCCTTATGCTTTACTTTACATCCCCTGTGACAACTTTGTAACTGCCAATTTGTATTTCTTAATCCCTTCCCCTTTTTCACCCAGCCCCCAATGCCCCTTCTATCTGGTATCCGTCAGTTTATTTTCTGTATCTATGAGTTTGTTTCTCTTTTGTTTGTTCATTTACATTGGTGACTGATTTAATCTCCAGCTCCTCTGCCCTCCTCAGGAATCAAGAAATGGGCCTTTTCCTGGCAACCAGCCTCCAATTTTAGGTGTATTGCTCAAATCACAACATTAACAACAAAAGACACCTTTATGGCCCTCATCACTTAGGAAATTCAGAGGGTTTCAGGTTCTCTGCATCAGAAATAGGGATGAAGACCAAATATGTATTTCTTATTATTGGGTTGTCGGAAAAGTCATGACGTATTTTGTCTATGTTTTTCAAAGGTCATTTATTTATATAAAGAACAAAGATCAATGAATGATATATTGCCTGTTTTGTTCGATAACCTTTTGCCATCTTTCAGTGAGTTTCATAATTCCTCGTTCTTAGAAGGACCTCTTTATTTGCGAAAAACTGAACAAGGTGCTGATTTACAGCCTCATCTAAATTGAACATTATACCACGCAAGGAGTTTTGAAGAGAGCGAAACAAGTAGAAGTCTGATGGTGCAAGGTCAGGCGAGTATGGTGGGTGTGGCAACACATCCCATCCAAGCTCCAATAATTTTTGACGGGTGATCAAACTTGTGTGTGGTCTCACGTT